TAGATCTTAACCAAAGTCTGTTATAACAGTGATTACATGTCTCATATTGTGTTTAATTTGTGACAATAAATGACAAAAGGTACCTTATGGCGGGTAGTGAAATTTGTCGTTATAGCCGAAAAAATCCAACTTCCTGAGCTTCATTTATCATAAAATTACTCCACAGAATGCAAAAAGTTACTATGTAACTTTTGGAAACAATGGTTGTCCAACGGAGGACTCACATGTTGATATTTTTCATTAAAATAATGAATTTTAAGATCTGTCATAAAATACCTTCTGTGAATTATGGTCACATATTATGAATGTAATAGTCACTGCACTTCCTTCATTGTATTTTATGCTATAAGACATTCCTTTTGTCATTAGTATTTCACTGAACTTTCCTCATTGTGCTGGTTGCTGTTATTGTCTTAAACAAGGGCCTCCAATATAGTTAACTAAAGGTATGACAATTTGTATTTTTTGCACTTGAATGGGCATTTTACATGTTAAAATCTTTTAGGACGTTTCTCAAAAAGTAACTTTGATTTATTTTCATATTTATATAGGCGACATTGTTTGGTTCTTTTCACTGTATGCTGTTTTCTTCACGGTCTCTGTTTAGATGGTTTATGCTTTTTCCTGATTTTAGTCATGTACCACAGTGTTTTAGTCAAAAATGAAGTAAAAATTGTTCCTTGGACAATTATTGAGGTAATTTATATCATCTGCAGCAGCCTGTGCTTTAAAACAGTGCCGAACTGCCAACACAAGCATTATACATTTTAGAAAAGTAGTTTACGTTATAACAGTAGCTTACATTATGGCCGTGCTTTATAGTACCAGCATTATTTGTGGCGTATTTCTTAGCAGCATTTTTAATCTATTGACTTGATACATGTCATTTTTTACCTCCAAAAAGATTAGTTATTGTTATTATGTTTTTGTTTACAGCTGGATGCTGACATATTGTTTTCTGATTTGTTTGTTCGAATTCAAAGTGGTGTCATATGCTATGTTATACCTAGTGAACATCTAGCCAACTCAATTCTGGATAAAGTGTTTGCTGGACAGTCACAAGAATTGCTAAGTGTTGTTAAGCCAGCTCACTCAGTAATTGGTGTTTGTTTTATGTTTGAATCATTTGTCAAGTTTCATGTGGTTGTTCATGAAAGTGAGTCAGAAGTGAATTCTCCTAAGCGTCTTCGAATAGAAAGCAGAAAGTTTTTACTACCTGCTTTTACTTCCACAAGACAAAAAAGATGACCTCTATAATTATGTGGTTCAACAACTCACAGTGGATGGGCTTCATTGGCATCAGCCACTAAATTAAGGAAAGCCATTTATTACCAATCTTTGCAATCTATTATGGTTCATTGATGGTCATCACAATGTGTTCTGCAGCTGGTCTTGTGCATTTCTTACCTACTTTGTTAAGCTTGTGGGCTTTAATCATCCCTGATTGAGTAAGCACAGGAAAAGATCTATTTCTAACATGAGCAGGGAGAAGCTATTAGAGCATGCTGGTACATTGCAAGAATATGCAGTCAGCAGTAGGATGGAACAACCAGCCTGGAGAGAATTTCATAACTCAACAATTAACATGACAATGTCAGTTTCATCGTATCCTTCTTACCATTCCATTCATTATCAAGTAAAGAAGTGCCATCACTCTTTACCTGAACCTGCTGTTGCTTTTTCCGATGCAACCAAGTGTACGATACTTTCCTAAAGCCATCTCTGTGTCTCCTTTCCTCTCTTCTCTCAATTCAGCTCTAACGAATGTTTTATGTATGACAAAATATTTGTGAATGATTTTGCACCTACTGATAGCAGGCAGAAATGTCACTACATTAGAGAACTAGAAAGAGGATTGTCATGTCCTGTTTTTTCTTCACATATATAAGTGGCTCTGATGTTGGAAATTTTTATTTCATATGAATGGCTCCTGAACATGCGTGTATAGAGGCGTGTACTCCGGAGAATGCATGTATTACTAAAGAAATTAAATCTCATATTCATATATATCATACAAGAACTATGAAACGGCAGTTTTACGATTTATATGGCGGAATAACACCTAAGAGCAATTCACATCTGTTATGAAGTATCTGTCAGTCATAAACTGGTGACTGCTCTACAGCAAGAACAACATCTGAAGAGGAAGTTGCGATGCATCTGGGTCTTGCGATGCAAGACCCAGATATTATTGTTGACTTACATCACTTAAAGGGTAACTCAACCCAAAATTTTTTTTTCCTAAAATGAATTGGCAATAAAGAAAAAATAATGGGAAAAATAGCTAAAATTATAAAAAAGCAGTATTTTCATGCAAAATCTTAGCTCAAAAGTTGCGATTTGCTTCCTGTCAGCCATTTTGTCAAAAATACTTCCGGTAGTGGGCGTGGTCACGTGATGACGTACATGGGGGAACACAAGCTTGCATGCAGTCAGCTGTAGGTATGGGGAAGAGATGTGTAGTAGCTAACTGTAGTCATTCTCACAAGGATGGAGTCAGTCTATTTGCTTTTCCTAAGGATCCACACATGAGAGCTATTTGGAATAGGCAAATTAAAACTACAAGAGCAGATTGGCATTTTCCTTCAGAATATTCTTGTGTCTGTAGTAGCCATTTTACTAAAGACTGTTTTCAGTCACTGTCAGTAGTTTCAGGTACAACACATTAAAGATATATATATCAATATTATGATACTATTGCATTTAGGCAAATTAGGATTAAAAAGAAAGCAGCTACTCAAGCCAGAAGCAGTACCAACCATTCTCCCTGCTGTATCAGTACAAAGACATCGAGCTAGACCAAGAAGGACATCAGTTGCTTTTGAAAAGAGAGAACACTCCAGAGTAAGTCTTATAAACTTCCTATTAAAATAATTATTACAATATAGATTTTAAGTGAATGTATTCCATCAACAAGTGCAAGCAGTGGAGTTTCAGATCAATCAGATGAGACACTCAGTGTAACAGTAGCTGATCATAATGATGCAATGGAAGATGACATAATTTTGAGCAAAGAAACGCAAACTGACAGACACGGTAATGATGTAAAGATTCAGGCAATTATTAGACCTCAGTGTACTAAACGTAAGAAGATTACATCAAATTATAGTACACAAATTATTCTTCATTTACAATAATAGGTATACAAGTAGAACCTGTGAAGAATGACATTGGTATACAATGTATGTTGTTGCCAGATATGTGTGACTGTGAAGTTCAATGTGATCTCTTACTGCCTCAAGAGTCATCTATCTACGGTGATACTAGTTATGATGATTTGTCATCTGATGAAAGTGAAGATCTGTCAGATTCAGATGCAATGGATGATTCTTATGAAGAAACCACTTTAAATTCCTCTGATGATGAAGATACAATGCATGTGCTAAGCTGTGAAACCTGTTCATTATTATACACTTTTCTTTAGGTATGATGAAAGTGTTAGTAACCCAATATATCAAAAAAAGTTCATTGTTTTTGCATCTAACCTTCTCTCTCTCTTTTTAAATTGTTTCATGTGTCATTGTCCAGCAGAAGTCTCATCAGAAACAATAGGCACTTTCTTGCGAGTCAAGCTATTTTGTCCATCATGCTTGTTTAATTATGTATGGGAAAGCCAGCCTTTAATTGGTGACATGCCAGCGGGAAATCTGGCATTAAGTACAGCTATTCTTTGTAGCGGATCTTTGCCATCAAAAGTGATCCAGATGTTTCGTTTTATGAACTGTGAAACCATTTCTGATACTACATTCTTTAATTATCAAAGCAAGTATTTACATCCAGCCATATCAATGACATGGGAAAAACATCAACAGGAAATCTTGTCTTCATTTAAAACGGAAAAGAATGCTCTAACTATAGGTGGAGATGCCAGATGTGATAGCCCAGGCTACTGTGCTAAATTTGGTTCCTATACTTTGCTTGAACTGAAATATAATGTTATCATTGATGTTGAGTTAGTACAGGTTAGCTGAAGAAGTAATAGCTACCATGTTGTACATGTACTTGTTTAATTTTTTATAGAGTAATGAGGTTCAAAGTAGCTCACATATGGAAAAAGAGGGACTTGTCCGTGGCATAAAATTTATTACTGATCATGGCCTGCAAGTAGAAAGCCTCATTACTGATCGACATAATCAAGTAACAAAATGGGTTCGGGAAAATATGGTAAACACTTCTCACAAATATGACATATGGCATGTGGCAAAAGGTAATATTGTGCTGTTACTTTATTTGCAAATATTTTATTCTTAATAGGATTTAAAAAGAAAATAGAGGCACTCTCTAAAACAAAAGATTGTAAAATTGTGGGAGAGTGGTCACGCAGTATGATTAACCATCTGTATTGGTCAGTTACATCTAGTAATGGCAACATGGAAGAGATCAGAGAGAAGTGGTTATCCTTGGCAAGACATGTTCATAATAAGCATACGGGACATGGACAAATCTATAAAAAATGCTCACATAAAAAAATAAAAAGAAAATGGTTCATACCTAGTAAGACTATAATTAAATGGCAACAATAATAACAATAATTACTAGTATATTTTTTTACACAATAGATACAAAAGCTAGTGATAAGCTTATAGATGTAATCAAAAGCAAGTATTTGATCAACAGTATTACAAATGCATCACACACATATCAAACCTCAACACTAGAGGCATTTCATAGCCTAGTTCTTCATTATGCTCCTAAACATACTGCATTCTCATATCAAGGAATGTTGTCAAGGTATTCATAATAATAATATCAAAATAAAGAATGCTGCCAAACTTAATAGGTTGCAGTTAGCAGCACTTCATTATAATTGTAACAAGGATCGAAAGCAGGCTATAAGCAAGTATGGAACAGAGCGATACAGTATTCAATATCCAAAGTACAAAAAAGGTGGATACATAGTTAGACAAATCAAGAGTAAAAAGAAATATGGTAAATATCTAATTTTACATTATTATTCGCGAGGTCATTGTTACCTTTTTACAGGTTACGTAATAACTGTATCAGATGCAGTACACAAGATGGTATTAGAAAATATCACCACAGTAAAACGTGCAGTACCACCTCCACTAAACAGTACTTACGAAAAGCCAAACAAAGATGATGCGATTATAGAGCATAAAAGTCGATTTATTACTTAATAAATTACAATTCAAAACCAACATAATTTCCATTAGAAGGGAATGTTTCCCTGATTTTAGCAACAGCACAAGCAGGTAGAACCACTCGATTGTTTCTTCCAAGCCACTGCCAACACCAGCTTACCAATTGACGATATGCTGTATGCCTCATTTGACTATTTCAATTATAATAATATAAGAATCATTGCATGCATCTTACTCATGAAAAGAACCATGACGAGCACTAGTACCATACTGTTGGCGATACACATAGGAAGCAGCTTGGAGGACCCACATGTCAAGGCAAACATTATGAAACCCAGGATGCAATGTGATGCATACAACTGGGCTCTGCAGATGATTCTTTTTTGCTACAACTTGTTGAATTTCACAACAACAAACACACTCCATACAGGTTGGCATAGGTACACAATGGCCACACTGGCACCTAAATAAGACAAAAATTGTTCAGTACTATTTCAGTCAAGCTAAAGCTGACCAAGTTGTATTGCCAAGTCTACTTTCAGGGTCATTTATCTCGTCATCAGAATCAGAAGAACTGGAGTCACTTGCCTCAGGCTCAAACATAAAAGGCTGAGTTCCCAGGGACTCCTCAGCTTCATTTTCACTGTCTGTTGACCATTCATTTGTTCCTTCTGAATCAGACATGTTCCCTCATGTACGTCATCACGTGACCACGCCCACTACCGGAAGTATTTTTGACAAAATGGCTGACAGGAAGCAAATCGCAACTTTTGAGCTAAGATTTTGCATGAAAATACTGCTTTTTTATAATTTTAGCTATTTTTCCCATTATTTTTTCTTTATTGCCAATTCATTTTAGGAAAAAAAAATTTTGGGTTGAGTTACCCTTCAAATTCTGATGAGAGTGATTGTTTGACAGTTTTTTGGGAGAAATGTATGCAGTATCTTTCTACTTGTACACCTGTGCACGAAAGGAGACACGACACTGTTACTTTTATGGCAAAGGCTATATCAGTTCGGGACCTGATCCAAGAGGTTACCAAGTTATGCCCTGAAGGCACTCCTGTTCCCTCTGAGCACGGGTTTCTTTTAACTTCTGTCCAAGGAATCCTCATTCTCTCGTTGCTAAATGGTATACTGGGAGATTACAGGCGAAACGTGTCATTCAATAGAGACAGTTAAGGAAATCACACCCAGATGCACATTACTATGCTGGTCTGCTTTGATACATGTAACCCGATTCATGACAACCAGGCTATCTGCTGGAATTATTAATGAGACTTATGGCTTCTCAAAGTTGTGATAGTGGTACCTTATCAAAACTGAGATTAAATCAAAAATGTATTGTATAAAGTATTCCATTTCATTTGATACCAAGTTTGCCATTAGTTTAAAGATGTATGTTATAGACCAGTCTTTTTGTTGTGCACATGTAAATAATTGACCCAATATGAGAAAACCAGGCTATCTGCAGAATTTTGGTAAAATCAGTTCTTTTGTACTCAGAGAGAAAAATTTCCTTTCCAACAATATCCCGTTCATGACAATGTGCTATTAAATTTTAAAGTTAGGGATGCTGTTTGGATGATTGCTCCAGAATAGAACTACAGCGAAAAAGCCATTATAAGTTATATTCAATGTTTCTGTCATGGCCCCCCGATCCAGAAACACTATCCGGTTATTTTAACTGAAAATATAAGAAATGTTTTTGGCTCATACAACCTAGCAATGTTTCACAAAATACACACCTAAACTACCTGGCCATAATACGCCAAAGACACTCCTGTCTATGGCATTTAATCAGCGATGGAACTGCCTAGGTTGCAGGTAAAGCAATACTCACAAAAGAGAAAGGTAGAAACTATATTTATCTCAAGAGCATTTAATGTTGAAAATGAAGACACTAAGTCCAATTCTGTCCCTCATGACGAAGTTGATGATACTGTGGAGGTAGAGCTGAATTGTGATTAAAGCATGATAAGCAGGGAAGGAGAATCAGAAGAATCGCTGTATCAAGTGAAAAAAGGTGTATTTCATAAGGCATGGGACAAAAATTCGCTGTTTTCTACGTGATTATTGTTAAAGGAAATTGTGTACCAGAAGGTGCTTCCACATGCATTTTTTGTCTTGCAGATTCTGGGGCTGCTATGATTTATTGCTTAAAATGTGGACCTTGAGTTTTTTATTGCGAACCTTGTTATAAAATGTGTCATTCTAAGACAAACTTCTTTCATATTCCAGAAAAATGGGAAGTGAGTATAATATCATATGTGTACATGCATGCAGTATTCATTACTGATGTCATTAATTATAAGAGAACAATAAAAAATTGATATGTTGGTACCACACATCTGTCATAACCAGCACTTTTTCTTTTACTTGTATTGATGATTTAGCTAAACCATTATCCTATAAACAAAAATAATTTAGATGTTTATAGGTTTTGAACACACTGTATCTTTCAAAACATTTAGCTGTGAAAGCTTAGTCATTACTCTTGTTAAAGCATGGCTTTGGCCAGCCACTCCATCAAACCGACAAGTGGCATTTACATTTGATTTATTGCATTGGGCAGAAGCTCTACTCGTAAAGTGCCAAACTGCATTGAAAGACTTTTGTATGTCTGTCCTACAGATGCCCCTTTTTTCTCCAAAAGTTAGAAATTACATTTTGAACCAATTATGGTATTATAGTAATTAATAATAATAATAATGATCATTATATTATTAATAATAATAAAAACTAGTTACTGTATTCTAATAATTGTACGTCTTAGTGTAGGCTTTTCCTTTCTTTTTCTATTTTTTTTGCTGTCGTATAATATTAATAGTAATAACAATAACAATAATAATAATAAAAATATCACATGTAGTTTTCTTTTATGTAGTTTGTTTTGTTCTTTCCTTCCTATGTACCGGGTCTCCCTTGTCCCCTTTTTGTCTGTTTTGTACCTTTCTCTCACTATTAATTTTGTTTTTTAATAATATTTAATATTATTATTGTTATTGTTATTATGATTATGATCATTTTTAGAGTAGAAGCATTTATGAACCATTGCTTGACTCATTTGAAGAGTACAGGTTGTCATAGTGATATAATGTCACATTTTATTATTCTGAATTATAGATACATGAAACATCAGGTCAGAAATCTACATATTCGTTGCTCTAAGCTGCATCAGGGAAATGTATGCCCTGCATGCCTGTCATCTATACTCTAGTAATAATAATTAATAGTAACTGTAGAGACTAATCTGATCCTATCATTGTGTCAATTGATGCCTTATTTGGATTGCCTAGAAAACACACTGCAGGACATAACTTACGACAGCCAATGTTTGAACAAATTTATTGTATAGCTCAATACGATACTGATAAATTTGCATCTGACTACAGTACTCATCAGTCTGTAGCAGCACCCAAAGTATAGCAAGTGAATTAATGTAAACTTGTACTTTTCTGTAGGAATGCAGTAGCTTTCTTGCAGGTAATCCTTTGCGGACTAAGGTTATGTTTAAGGCATTGGATGAGACAGCTGTTTTTGGTTGTTTCTGCAGGCATGAATTTGCGATAATTTTCTCAAATTTTAAAGATGGAGAAAAGTCAGTATACTTTCTTTTTGTCACATGAATACATTTGAAAACTCCATGTAGGATGCCATACTGTATTCATTTAATACAGAAATTGTGGCATCAATTTTGGAAGACACAAACAAATTTTACTCCTTAATGACATTGCCTGCACCTTAGATCAGCATTTGAAAGTATTGCAAGTCATGTTTCTGGCAACTTTTATTGTAACTGGTTTAGCGTAATCAAACACTAGACTTTTTAGGCATCCAGTTTGCTATACCAGTTTTTCACAGTTTTGGCCACATATTTGAATTCCAAGTTCGCATTATTGATAACAAAATCACAATTTCTTTTAGTTGAAATACAGTCCTTTGAGAAAAGCAGGATTTGGTTTAGCTGATGGAGAGGTAATGGAGCGTTTGTGGTCTTTCCTTCAGCACTTCTCTAGAATGAGAAAAGAAATGAGGCCTGAACATAGGATTGATGTTTTAACTAAAGCCTTGCTTTATAATAGATACAAGACTACAATTAGACTTTGTAAGTCTTTACTATTTCAAATTTATACTAAAAAATTTATCGTGTGTAGCAAAATTGTTACCTGCAAAATGGAAGAGAGCCAATGAAGCAGTAGATCAAGCTTCCACTACAATTTCTTCATTAATTGCTCAATGTAATAATAATTTTACCAGTTAGCTTGTTAGAATTATAATATTTATTGTAAATAGATGGAATCACACTTCAGAAACTGCATGAATGGATTACAAAAGATTTTGAATTGGCTGATACAACTGATATGAAAGCTACAGTGCCAAACAGTCCTTGTTCTGAATGCTTCATGCTGCTGCAAAAATACTACATTATCATGTGAGTGTGTATAGAAATTCATGTTACATATGAATAAATTCTTTGCACTTTACAGACAAAAAAATCAATGAAGTTCTTTACGAAATGTTATAGTTGAATTACTTTCTTAACTAAAATTAATTAAGGCATTTTGTGAAAATTGACTTGCTATATTAGGTTATGTCAAATGCTTCAATCACTTGAGGTAGAGTTACAGATTTCCAAACGGTGAAATAAATCTCATCTATAATATATTTGACATTCTAAAAGCACAGCTGAATTTTGTATGAAAAGTGTTAAAAAGACATTGCTTTTTTGATATTTAAGTGGCAATTTCTTTTGAATTGGAAAGCAAAATATGCAGGTAAGTGTACTATAATTTATACTAATGATTATTGACATTTTAAATGGTACCCAATGTAGATGACGACTAAATAGCTACGAAACTCTTTGTACAAATTACAAAGGTTACAAAAAGTCTTAAGAAAGTTCTTGCTGACTATAACAAGGCTTATTTAAGTGCAGAACCACTTTGTTCTGCCATACAGTTTGCTGCAGTTGTACCTCCTGATTTAAGTATTTTGGCAAGAGATTGCAATGAATTAATACCTTCTCAAATTAGGCATAACGTAATAAATAGTACTTTGATAAAACCTCATGGAATAGAAAAATGTGAGATACTTTTGAAGGAACTAAGCAATGTTGTTCAATATTATGACAGTATTATCACTATTGTGAATAATCATATACATCGAGATGATGCAACAAATAGGGGAGCCATAAATGTTTCGAAGCAGTATTTAGAGAAAATAATATGCTATAAGCTCTACCAAATTGATGCATACTAAAGCTTATGGAATCAGCAAGGAAAATAGACAACATATTGACAATGATTCTGATCTGTCTGAGTAGGAGAATGATGACAATGATTGTAATTTTGATGATTACAATGGTTATGATGCTATATAAGAATTGAAGCACCTTATTATATTATTATTTGTTCTAAAGCTTCCTTAAAATTATTATAAAGTTTAAATTATACATATAATGCCATCTTTTACACCAACCATTTCTGACCCTCATATATTATACTGCACAACATCAGTAGTATAATGTCACAGATATAGGAATGTGTTCACTATTAAATCAGTGATGTATATAAAGTACAAGTTCAGTACCATTACCATCTCGTCATCAGAATAACCAGTATATTTCAAAAGTAAAGTAGAGCTACGTCACAAATACCATTTTGCATTGGAGAACTAACCTCTTTACATA